CTACATGCCAATTTTACTTCTATTAGCTACAAATCTATCATCAATAACTAATACTTTAAACACTCTACCCAAGTCAAAATGAATAGCAAAAAATATATACGCCAAACTTCAAGATAATAGTAAATAGGTTTTTCCAGTCAAGTTCATTACTTACTATTTATAACAAAGGGAGTAAAAAGAAATTTTCAGTCACTTTTTAAAAAAAGAATTATTGATTTAATTCCATTGTGTTATTATTATTATTTAATTTATTAACAAGAGAGAGATAGAAGTAAAGGGAGAAAACAAGCTGCAAGGTCTGGGACTTGAACCGTGGTTAGCCATAGAAAATCCAGTGCCTTTAACCACCATGCCACTTATTATTTTTTTTTAAGAGAAATTTTTCCTATAGGAGTTGTGTGCTCAGCAGACAGAGAGATAGAAAGCAAGAAATGACCCCCCCAGGGGAGATGGCTACACCACAATCTCCTCTCCTCCATTTTCCCTTCCAGACTTCGGGCATGCACCACACATGCCTGGTCTGAGATTCAAGCCAGTGGATCTAGGACTAGAACTGCAGTCAGACATGTGTGAGACCAACCTCTTAACTAGTAAACCACCTGCTAGCTCCTTCAGTCGCTTTTTAAAGCTATTCTGTGTTAATATTTTTAAAGGCAATTAAATCTATACATCTTTTGGGGAAAAAACAAACATCCTAGTTGAAGATCAGCATCTAACACCTGCAAGATGAAATAGGCATAGCTGTACCCTAACTTCCTCCTCATTGCCACCTACCAACCTTTCTCCACACTGTTAAACTTGATTGGTCTGAGAAGGCCTCTACACTCCTGCTTGAGTTGCTATAAGCAAACCACAACCACCCACGGAAATCTGCTTTCTCATTAAGTTGCAGAGTTACAGCCAATCACAGCAGCGATGCTTCCGTCAATCACAGACAGCCCAGCCTTTAAACTATGTTCATGTAGGCAAACGTCAAGCTTTCAACCAATCCAATGATTTCTCTACTTTATTCCCTCACTTCTTGTTTTTGTACATTACTTTCCCTTTCTTGTGCTTAAATGTCACCACACCACATGGCTATCTGGAGTCCCTTGGAAGCCATTCTGGGGGTTGCCCAATTTGAGTCATTTTTGTCCAATTAAACTCTGTTAAGTTAAACTGTCTGAAGTTCTTTTAGTTGGGTCCACCTGTAACCTCATAGAATCCTAGAACTTGAAGGTCTCTCAGCAGTCATCAACCAAAAGCCTTACTTTACACATAGTAAGCTAAAATTCAAAAAGTTCCACAAATTGAAGCAGTAAGTAAGAAGTAAAGCTGTGAAAAGATCCAAAAGATCTATTAGTCCCACATCTAAAATCAAAACTCAAGTGACTGCCTCACCTACTCCTTACTGATGTTGTAAGCATTAAATTATTTAAAACTGTGGGAAAAAAATAAAGCTCTATTATCAATTTCATTATTAACCCAGGTA